CTGATAAAGAGGGCAGCAAAAGTAAAAGGGGAAATGTGTATAATTTTGGTCTATTCCATCAGCAAGCTACAGGTTGCTTGTCCAGGGTCAGAAAACCCACTAGAAAGACAAGAAGACAGACTGCTCACTGTTTGGGAGTTTGAAAGAAGATGTGAGGAATTAATTGAAATTAATTAATTAATATAACAGTTGAAATTGACCCGGTGTAAATGATCCAGAATTAGTAGTTTTGCAGTTTGCTCTAACTTAAGTACTGGCACTGCTCATAGCTTACTCTGGAGATTGATTTGTCCATTTTCCTCCCACTGTAGTCATCTGTGTCCAAACACAATCATGTGCATTCAGCTTTCAAGAGTATTAACAAACCATGGTTTCAAAGATGCTGGTTGTGATGGGAATTTGAAATGCAGAATTTGCAGTGTCACTGAACCCATCTCTTCTTCATCTGATGCCCAGGACTGATTTAGAAATGAGACAGTAATTGGAAAATTCGATTCATGAAACATACTCATGCAACTTCCCAATATCTGCTCATGTGATTGAAAAGTGGTGGTTATTCAAAACAAGGTGTTTCCATTGCGCACAGTCTGTTACTAGCTCCATATGCTCTGCCTGGAATTTGGAGGTTGAGTCATGGTCTTTTTGTCTTGACCTTGCCATAAGATAGAGAGACTCTGCAATATGAGAGTAAAAGATGGGAGAAGAATCATTGAATCAGTGATGTAAGTGGAAAAGATCTGATTTTTCCAGGGTCTATCACAAGGGCCAGTGCAGAAGAGACCCATCGGGACACGGTAGACTGATGTGTGAGGAAAGCAGAATTAATCTTGTTCCCTCTTCTTCTTCCCCAGTATCCCATGGCTGTGTTGGGTTCCCAAGTTTAGCAAACTAGAAGGTGTTTGTCTCGAGGAGAGGAACAGACATGACTAAGGACACGTGGGAGCAAGTGATGGGGAGGAAGAAGCTTCTCGTTTCAGACAGCCACTTTTCTAACTAAATTCACTTTAAGCAGAGATCAAGTCATCTGTCCTGCAAAAGGTTCAGAGGTGGTTAGGTAAAGATCCCTTTGCAGAGCCAAAGCTGCCATTCTTCTGCCTTGGCTCTTCCAGAGAAAGGGAAACTTTCTGCTTTGGAGACCATGTGTAAAAGTGGGTCCCAGACTTACTGTTGTCAATGCTCTAACTTACCCCCATGCTGCCATCATTGAGCTCAAGTCATGGGCCATTTCCAACCAGCTGCAGGTCAGGTGCTTTTTCATGTGGTTAATGGGCTATTCAGAACAAGAGTGAAGGCAAAAGTTTGAAACACCTCCTCTGTGTGTCAAGTATTGGTGGACAAGAAGGAAGGTGGGGAGTCTGCCCAACTTTTCTTCTGTGTCATGAAGAAATATACTGATCCCAAGCCAAGGACTGGAAGATGTTTCATTGTAAAGTGGGATTACTTCAGTGTCAGGCGCTCACATCCTTCCCGTAGGTACAGCATGGCTTTGAATGAGTTCACATCGTGCTGTCAATTCTGCTTATTTTCCTGTCAGGTCTTTCTGTGGCTTCTGCATAGGATCTTCTTATGAATTGTCTTGTTGTCTTGTTTTTATAAGTAAATGGTACATGGGGAGGGAAAAAAATAAAAAGAGTGGTGCTTTGGGAGAGGCAGTTTGCATACACCTTGTCTACAGGGCTGACTGCAACGCAGCCGAGACAGATTAGCACAGCACTGCCTGCCTAAAACAAATAAACACCAGCTGTTTATCAGACAGGGCTTGGCTTCCTCCAGGAGGAGGTAAACAGATTTATGCAGATGAACCTCTGAGGTGCCCTTGCAGCACAGCATCTTTCATGGCTATTTGGCCTTCCTCATGAGTTACAGCCGGGATGGGCGAGCACAGAGGTGCAAGGTGAGCACAATAACGCTGCCAGCCACAGCGTGCCACGGGGGTTTGTCACTGCCGTGTGGCCAAACCTGTATTTTATAGTGGGTTAGAATTAATCATAGTGCTGATCTTGCCGTGAAGGGAAGAATTTGATCTAAACTTCACTACTTTAGGCCTCTAGCATGTGGAAAAGCAATTTATTATAACTCACTTATTATTCCATTTGTGCCTAAAATACTACGAAGCAAAATTTATGGCTATTTGAGGTTGAGAGAAATTGCGATCAGCAAATGTATTTTTCTGATTCTACATTAAGATTGTCCAGTTGCTGTCAAACTACTTAACTTCATGACCCTTTTATTTTTATAGCCACCCAAGTTAACTTTCAATCCAACAGTGCTACACAAGTCCACTGCTGCAAAAGGATTGCTTCTCTCCCAATTCAACTCTGTCTGCCACAATACCACATTTAATTCTTCATATGATTTTTCCCTGAAACTTCTCAAGAGGTGACTCTTAACAACTAGCTGTAAAATCTGGTCTCAGAGACAGATGGGATATTATTTTAATAATATAGATGTAATTACACAGTTTGGATGCCAGCTCTCAGAAATGTCTGATAATTTATTAAGATGTCACTGGGAGGAAAAATTGGGAGCTGAAAGTTTTGGGCAATACCCTGGAGAGTTTAGAAAGAGAGGTTTGCATCAGTTCTCATGGTGTTACTCATCAGAAGTGTAAAAATTCTTAAATAGTATTGCTGGTTTTTCTGAGACTGTTTCCTGTTTAACTTCATCTCACACCAAATGGGACAATACTATTGTAATTGCTACATTTCTGAGTTTTTTAAAATATCCTTGGGCTCCTCTTAGTACAAGATCTTGCTCTAGTGCTTTCTTGATTGCTGCTATTTGGGAGATCAAGAACGCAAATATGTGGTTTATCAATACAGTAAGACCAAGGTAATGTAGTGATGAGTGCTACAGAAATGCTTGCCAAGCCAAAGAGGATAAACCCCTTTTCCTCTACTCTCTTAAGTAAATTGGTGCCATTTGAGCTTTTCTTATATTAGGAGTTTCCTCACCCAAGTGCTTTGCTTTACATTTCAGCACATTGTATCTCAGATTTCTCCAGGTGCTCCTTAAACACTCAGCTAAACCAGGTGGAGAAGGCAAAGTCCACATGTGATTTGTTCTCCCTGGCTGCCACTGCAGGTTTAAAACCAAAGTCATTTTGGATGTGCCTACCAACATGTGCCTTAATGTTATTAATATTATTAATATCGGTAAGAAGCAGTTTTCAGCCTATTGAACAATTAAGAAAGGTCAATGGGAATTCCCAGAGAGGTGTCTTTCATTACAAGGCCCATTGCTTGTGCAATCTTGCAGCATCCATCTTCCCAAGCAAGCCAAGGGCCCAGAGATGGCAGCTCCATAAACCTGCCTCTGAGCTCCTAATTAAAAAGCTTAATTGCATGAAAGCCATTAGGATGCTTGTGTTCCATTGGCTTTTTGATGCATTAAGTGGTACCTATATGACCCCTAAGGTTGATACAGGTGCTTGCTCGGGTGCCTGGGTGGCAGGAGCTGGTGGCAGCAGCTGGTGGCACATTGTGATGTGTCCCTGCAGCCAGTCTGAAACCCAGAATTAGTCACTTCCACCTCCTTCATCTTCAGGGAAACACACCTAATCTAAGGGGCACATACCTTTACAGCTCCTGTGGCACAAGGAAGAGATGGAAAAGGATCAAAAGTGGTCCAGTTTATGAGCAAACAGATTCAGGGTTATGAACATCCCACGGGAGTGGAAAGAGGGCACTGTCCCACGTAATGCCTCTGCTTGAGGAGACCTCTCATGCACCAGCTTTTGCTGACTGGGCACTGGAGAAGAGTGCTCAGCTCTCCATTGGCTGCCATGACCATCAGGCTGAAGCTGAGAGCGGGCTGTGCTGCCACAGTTCTCATGGTGATGGAAAGCTCCACTGAAAGACAGTTCATAGAGATAAAATTTTGTCTGCTGTGCCTCCAGAAAATGCTGTGGTGGCTGTGCATCTCTAACTGCTTCTACAGCTTATTCCAAGCATTAAACCCCCCCTCCCCTTTTTTATTGCTGAGGAATTCTAGAGGTGATGTGATGCCAGAAAGGTGCTTAGAGGTTTGCTGTGCCTTAGTGCTGTCCTCAGAAGAGAGCAAGTTCTCCCAGCAACTCGTGGCATTTGATGATGACACAGGATCAGTGGATATCCCACAGTCCCCTAACCTGCCCCTGTAGGTGCCTGGTATCTGGGCAGATTTAATCCTCAGGAATGACCTGTTAGCTGAGCAAACCACTTTTCATTGGCCTCTGTGCCTCTGGTAAATTAAAGTCACTGCTCTTGCGATTCTTCCTGAATCCTCGGTTGCTATTCTCTGTCAGTCCTCGCTGTCCTAAATGTCAGTGGAAAGGATCATTGAAACTGATGGCTTCAGTTCATCTGTTGTGCCAGTGTTGGTATCCTGGGATGACCTTCCTTCTGAGGGGACAGTCATGGAGGGGAAGGCTGCAGGGTCAGGGTCCTGCTGCGGGGCAGTTCCAGCACTTCCAGCCAGCTCCCGCTAATGCCCTAAGGAGCATGGGGGTCACTGGTCCTCCTCCTCTTGGGAATGCTTTCACTTACCCAGCTTCAGCCTCAGAAATCTGTCATGTTTGAGTTTAAACTAATCCCAGTTGAAATGCAAAACTCAACAGGACCTTCTAATGTCACCTAGCCTTTCATTGGAAGGATGTGACCCTTGCTACACCTCACAGGAGATGGATTATTTCCAGGATTATTCGAAAGAGATTCAAGTCTTTGTAGCAAAAGTTGCCCCAAAGGTTCCTCTCCCTGGGGACAAGCTTGCCACGAGCTTGTCATGAGAACTGATAAACCTCAAGTACTTTCCTGGCAGATGTTTTGCATGAGACTAACTCCATCACAGAGATGGCTGCGTTCTGTGGGTGGGTAAAAAGATCCCCATAGATATTTTTGCGAAGCAATTTCAGTTCCCTTGCAGCTTGCAAGAAAATTGAATTAGTTGTTTTCCATTCACTGAATTAACCCTGATTCATTCTTCCCTCAACCCTCTCCCTCTTCCTCCCCTCCCTCCAACAGATGTCCAGCATATTAAGAGGAGAGACATCGTTTTGAAGAGGGAGCTGGGAGAAGGTGCCTTTGGGAAGGTGTTCTTGGCCGAGTGTTACAACCTCAGCCCCACCAACGACAAAATGCTGGTGGCAGTGAAGGTAAATGCCAAGGGCGAGTGGCAGAGAGCAGGGCAGGGGCTGGCCAGTGAAGCGAGACTGGATGAGCCTGTGTGGGAAAGGGAAGCAGGGGAGGGCTGGGGGCCAGGGGGGGAGATTTATCTGATGCCGGAGATTGTGGTAAATCCAATTAGTCACACAAAGTTTCAGTGTTTCGCTTCAAGGTTGTCTGTTCTCACCAGTGCCAAAGCCTCCCTTCCTGCTGACATGGCCAGGAGACAGACAGGGAGGAGAGGCTGGTCTGGGAGCTGTGAGCTCCTGTGCAGCTGCAGCAGCACAGTGTGGATCCAACTCCCTCCAGCAGGCACCGCGGCCCTGCTCCTTCTGGATTTTATCTTTTTGTGTAACATGCAGAAGCTGAAACATAAAAAGGCCTCAGCAAAAATGAGCAATGAAAGCTAAGCATGATGAGCCAATTTTCTGGGATCAATTTGCTGCAAGATGGGCAAAGCAGCTCGGCTTGGCTCCACTCTGCTCCTGCTTGCTTAGCCACAGGTTGCTCCTGTTTTGGGTATTTTGAGCCAACACGAGTTCAGCTTGGCTTGTGCTGTGCTGCTTGCATCCTTGTGATATTCCTGGTGGGAGCTGAGCCCCATCAGTGTGGCTCTGGGCAGAGGAGAATGCTCAGTGCAGAACTGTGCTCTCCTCTCAAGTGGCACCAGTTGGCAGAGCCACATTTTAATCCCTTGGATTTAACCAGTGCTTCCTAACTCCTTGGAACAAGGTCTGCATTTGAATGGATGCTCTACAGGGAAAAAGGTTCCAGCACTCTCTCCAAAGTGCTGGAGGCATTCAGTTACTTGTGACTTGTTCTAATCATTGGCAGCTCAAGCTCTTTTTTTTTTTTTTAGCTCAGATGTCCCTTTTTGCTCTGGCAGTGAAGTGCAAGATTGCACCTTTCACCTCTGAGACAGGTTAAAGCCGAGGACATGAAGACACCCACGTGATTAATTGTTTGATTATAGGGTTGGTACCTGCCTATCAGTGTCAGCCATCCCTCAGCAAGCCTGGCTCCCGAGTCTCTTCAGAGTTTCATTTGCATGTAGGCAGAAACAGCATCCGAACTTGTTTCTGTTAATTGCTACTATGAGCTTACATCTCCAGAGTGCCTTTCATCCTGCAAGATCATACAGCTCCAGCTCTGGAGCAGGGCCCTGGGATCTGGCTTCTTGCCAGCTCTGGGAGTGGCAGGGGAAAAAAAAATCCCTCTAATTTGGGCCACGTTATAAGTCTGAGGGGAAGAAAAAAAAAAAAAAAAGGAAAAAAAGACAGGAATAAAAGCTTTACATATTAAGTTGAGATTTGGCTGCAGTTCCTGAAGATCTCTTTCCCCAGCTGAGGCTGAGAACTACCTCCCCAGCCACTGCAGCTCAGGGCAGCAGCAGGACTCCCTGGTTAAGGGCAGCTGAGTCCACAGCCCAGAGCCTGCCTCTGCCCTGCTCCCAGGGACTCTCTCCCAGGGCCAAAGGAAGGGGCTGTGTTACTCTCTCGCTTAAATGGACTCAGATTTTTAGCAGATCTAAAGGTTGCAGCCCTGCAGATAAACCGAGTTTTGATGTGAAGGCATGGACAAGCTTCCTGTTTTATTCAGCTTGCTTCTAAAAGCATCCTCAGAAATGCACAAGCACTGTATCCAGCAGAGTGTTAAGGTGACAAAGTCAAGTACTAGAAATGCTGGAGGGGCTGTGTTCAGGGCATGTCCTCTGAACACTTCATTTTTCATTTCTCTGTGGCTGCTCCATTGTGGGGATCACTCCTGTGCTGGAACCTCTAGATGTGAGTGTACCCATGTTCACAGCCCCCCAGCAAGTTACTGGGGTTCTATCATCCCCTTTTGCAGAGGGCAGATGCACAAGCAGGAAAACTGAACTGAAGAGATCTGCTTTAGGTGAAGGATGAAGTTACCAACCTCTCTCCAGCCCCATGGACAGCAGGTACCTGACTCAGAGTGAGCCCTGCTGCAGTAATAAACACATGGTGCTTGTGGAAACCTGGCCCTGAGGCTGCATAAGAGGGGATTTTCCAAGTAATATTAGAACAACTGGCACTTCATGATGACAGCTGCAACTTGCAGATGTTCAGGGACCTGCCAGAAGTTATGGAGGAATTGTGTGATGGAGACACAAAAAAAAAAATCCATCCCAAACCTTCCTGGGAGAGTCATTCCTCTGATTTTACTGAGACATCCCTTCTCTTTCTTTGGTTCTGGTCTTCTTTCCCTGTTCTATCCCTTCTAGCTCCCTCATTTATAAATGCTTGGCTGTGCAATCTTAGCAATGAGGAGGGAGTTAGTAACTTTTTTTTTGGTGTGTGATATCAACAAACTTACAATCTTAACACCTTATAAAAATGATTGTGTGTGAAGGAGATGAAACCTAAACTCACTGCAGCTTGAAATATTATGTGCAGCCACAGGAAAAGGGGGGAGAAAAGAGTGATGGGGGAAGGGACTATTTTCCTGCAGAAAAATGGGTGGCATCAACATTATGAAGATATTAAATGACTAAAAGTAATTGGGTGCCTGAGATAAGGATGGATGCTTTGCCATCTGCACCATGTAACTAACATTCATCTAAATATCTCCAGCTGAGCTATCCCAAAGGGCAAAGAATTAAAACAGATTTATGCCATGGGAATAGCAGTTTGGGGGCAGAATCAGATGAGGCAGTGTCCTAAGGCTTGGGGAAGCCTCACAGCAGGTCTACTCCAAGGGGAAAAGCACCTTCTCTGGAGGACTCTGTAGAGGCAGCAGCACCATGGGCCAGCCCAGGTGCAGTAACAGTGCTGGGCCCCATCCTCCATGCACAGCTTTCTGATATTTAGCATCCCTTTTTGCACATAAATTGCAGCTCAGGCCACCTCTGCTGTCTGCATGGGGAGATTCAAGGCATGGGGAAAGGGGGAAGGTGTATTTGTGTGTAAGTAAGGGGAGAGCTGCCCAGTGTCCCCACCACTAAAGGGCAACTGGTGCACATCAGATTGACACAGGATAGGTGGAACAAGTTTCCTTGAGTCCTTTTCAGCTCCTCTTAGGTTGCACAGTTAAAGACAGAATTGGTTCTAAAAAGTCCTGACATGTGGAGGATGCAGAGAGTGTGATGCACAACCAGCAACTCAAAACCAGACTCTTCATTTTCTTAAATTTTTTAAAAGACTGTGCTGATTCTTGTGGCTATTTCATCTTGTCAAATGGTCTGGACTTAATTTTTTTTGTTAAGTTCCCTCCCTTGATAGCCTGGGATGACAACAAGCTGCTTTCAGACTAACTCTCCAATGCAACTGCACAAAAATGCACAGACAAGCCAGAGCCCAACCCTGGAGAACCCTCCCCTGTCATCAGCTACAGCCACAGCATCATCTTCACGGCAGCACTGCAATGTCGGTCTGGTCCACGCCACCTGAAGCATGCAAGCTGCCTTGCAATGGCAAAATGGCATTCTCAAATTGTGGGAGATGGGATATTCTCAATAAGGATACTGATTTCAGCATCAGTCTGCCAGGGGAGTTGTTATAAACAGCAGGGAATAAAAACATGGTTTTAAAAATTATGAGAAAAGACTTGACAGTGTCCTTCTTCAGAGGCAGTTTGAAAAATCCACACAATAACTGCACAGCCAGGCAAATCCATCTTTTGAATAAAGGCAGTGTAGTCAGCTATTTCAAAATAAAAGACAGATAGCAAGGACTGGCTGGCTCAGGAATTTAATAATAATGAGATATGAAGCCATTCACCCCTAGGTCACCAGTATAAATTCTGCCCAAGCTGGGAATAATTGGAAGCTATTACCCTCTGAGGCATGTTTGCTGCTGCCTAGCAAATGAGTTGGGGAGCCCAGTGGGACAGTAACGACAGGAGTGACACACAAACATGGTGCCACCAGCACAACTGGGCCAGCGGTTCCTCTCCCCTCCCTTCCCCATCAGCTCCTCGCAGATGCTGTGACCCCTTTGTCGTGGTTTTCCCCCAGCTGAGCCCACTCTGTGTGTGCGTGTGTGTGCATTCCAGGCTCTGAAAGACCCCACGCTGGCGGCCCGCAAGGATTTCCAGCGGGAGGCAGAGCTGCTCACCAACCTGCAGCACGAGCACATCGTCAAGTTCTACGGCGTCTGCGGGGACGGCGACCCGCTCATCATGGTCTTCGAGTACATGAAGCACGGGGACCTCAACAAATTCCTCAGGTGTGTGGGAATGAGGGCATGGGAGGTGCTGTGGGGCTGCCCCACAGCCTCGGGGAAACTTGTTCTAGCTCAGTGGTGCACCAATGGTGACATTATTCAGCAGGCTGAGAAGTGAGAGATTGTTGTTCCAAGGGCATCTTGGAGGAGGTGATGATACTCACCAGATTTGGTAGCCCTATCCCAACATTTTCCCTTAGGTAATCTCAGGAGATGTGGGAGTTTTCTTCTCCCACCTGAGCAAGTTTGAAGCTGCACGAAGCATGGCTGTGATCCTTCTCTGCCCTGTGGGGATGGAAGGACATGAGGCCACAGCTGTCAGCAGCTCCAAGTCCTGCACACCCAGCAAAGCCATGTCCCACTGAAGCAGGAAGGCCACTTGCCATCACTCCCTCAGCCACTGAGCTCCTGCTTCAACAGCACAAGAACCAAAATATTCCTTTGAGAAATTGGTTGGTGTCCTTGATCTCATTTGCATTCTTGGTGTTTACTGGTCACTGGTTCTCATTCCTGAATTCAGAAAAGGACTGAGAAATGTTGGAGGAGTCTCAGGCAGTACCTGTGGGGTGCATCCCTGTTCCCTGGTCTCTAACCTGTGGCACCAGGCTACTCATGAAGTCAGGCAAGGCCTGAAGAAGTGCTGTAATTACCTTCTCTGTCTCTAGAGAGATGCAAATTACCAGAGCCCCCAGTGCTCTCCATCATCATTCAACCATTTCATCAGCCTGAGGCAGATCACTCATGTGCTCTGTATCCACCAGCAGCAAGGGCCAGGGAGCAGCTGTGGGAGGATGTTTATGGTGCTCTTCTGCCATAAAACAAAAATTCCATTCTGAAGCCTGCATGCAAGTGGAGTGGTACTTACCTCTTGAAATAATTAGTAGTTTTATTTCCCAATATTTAGAAAATTGGACCCTTGATATTTTCCTGTTTTGACTGCTAAGTGTGAATATGATTGCAGGGAGAACAAGAATCTTGTGCATGGCAGGTCTAGCTGTGGGGTGGGGATAAACTCACTGAGTATTTTTCTACCAACACAGTTTCTGACCAGAAAGCGCCAATTTTTCCTTGAGGTTTTCACTTCTAAGCAATCCCCCACACCAGAAGAATATAAGGAAGGATCCTAGAGATTTCTTCTTTCCTCTGCCAAGTAGTGCCAACCTGTCTCCAGCTTCTTTGGGGCATTCATGGGGCAGTGAGTGAGCCGGGAACATTTCTGCATTGATTTTTATCCTCATTTTGGTATAGTTGTGGGTAGATTGAATTGGATTTTATAGCTCAGTCCCTGTCTCAAGCTCTGGATGGATCCAAGACATCTTTGTCAAGGTGGGACGAGTGAAGGCTGTTGGCTTTACAGAGCTTCTCAGACCCACATTCAAGGGGGAGCAGCCTTGCTTACCTGGGACTTTCTTTTGTCATATCTGGAAGCCTCAGCAACCTCCCAGCAGCAGCAGATTGAACTCTGCCACCAGCATGAAACCAGGAGCTGGGCTGAAAGGATGTTTTAGCCCAGGCTGGTGATGCAGTGTTAAAGACAGTGCCTCAGCCTTGTGACTGAAGGCAGGCAGTCTGAAAAAGAGGCCTAGATATGTTGCTCTTCAAGTGCTTCACAAAGAAAAACTCAAAATTGACCTATCCTTTTCCCTGGCAGAACCAGCAACCTTATTTCCTTAGAGGAGTCAGATATTACAGCTGAGGAACAGCCTCTCTCACTGCTCTAGTTAACTTCCCAAAAAGCACAGTGCAAAAGAGGCTCTCTCAGTGTCTCAGAAAGATGTTGTGTGCCACTGCCTGATGGAATTGCTTCACTCAGCAGTGTGTTCCTAAAGCTGAAATAATGCTGGAGCCATGGACCCCTCACTCCCATGTCCCAGCTCTTTCTTGGGACGTGTCTGAGAAACATTTATGCCTGATTAAATTCATCTCCAGTCTCATTGGAAAAGAAAGCTTGTTGTATTATCTTTGGCCTTTATGAAGGAAAAGAAACTTTTCCAGGTGTGTGGTCCCTGGGATTGCAGCTTCTCATCTTCCAGCTGTGTTTAGCTGCCAGCTTCTCCTTCCTGTGCAGCCTTGGAAAAAGCAGCTCTGTGCTCCTTTGCCTGCATGCTAGAATGTGGTAGGCAGTGAAAAAGTCCTTTGTGTCCCAAAGGAAGATGGCTTTGGGGACAAGGGAGCTTAGACCCTGAAAAGAGGCACTCAAAATGCTGAAGGAAATGTCATATGGAAAGAGAGTTTGGGCTTTGTCAGGTAAGGTGTTTGCTGGTGGGGAATGGGGGCTGCAAGGGGGTCAGGAAGGGTTGATGATGCAGAGCTGCTTGGAATCCCTCAGCAAGTAGCAGTTTTCATAATGGAATAATTCACCCAGGCCACAGCAGGAGACAGTGACTCCCAGACACTGAAGGCCAGGGACCCTGGGAGTCTGTAAGACACTCAGATGGACTTTTCCTAGTTTAACTGCAGAAATTGGAAAAACAGTAAAATGGAAGAGGCTCACTTTAGACCCAGTTTCCTAGAGAAAAGCACAATAAATAAATTCCCCTCAGTGTTGTTAGACCTTTGTGTGCTTCCCAGAGAACAGAGAGTTTTAGTGGCCTGAAACATTAACTGGTGTGGCAAGGGGAAGCACCAGGATCAGCAGGTACCAGCTGGGTCAGTGGTGGCCTGTGCTGGTGTGGCTTCTCGTGCCTCCCAGGGCCACCACGCTGGTGATGCCACAACAGACCCTGCTGTCTGCACCAGGGCAGGCTGCAATGGTGCTGTTCTGCCTCAGAAAATACTGATAGAAAAGGTCTTGGCATGGGGAAATACAGGCATGACCTTCCAGGGAGCATCCCTAGGAATGATGTGCACAGGAGTCTGCCTGCAGGTTGGGTGGGTGGCAAGGCTGGGTGCTCCTGGCACAACCCCCCACTGCCTTGGGGTCTGCAGTGACCACGTCTGCTCACTAAGGGTGTCCATCACTTCCTCCTTTTCCTTTGGTTTCTGGTTTTCCAGCTTTTGTTTCCTGTCAGCCACAGTTTTGAAGTAGGAGTAACAGCACGTTGCCATTGTAGACCCGCTCTGCAGTCTGCAATAAATTGTTGCCATTTGCTGTTAGCTCAAAGGCAACAGGCTTCATCAGAAAACCTGCAGAGTTCTGGTGTTTCCCTTCCTGTGAAGCAGCACCATATTCAGACTGTCATGGGACAGAAAAGGAATTTCAGAAGAGGAAGCCAGAATGGTTATTTTTTCCCCAAAGCCTCAACCTCCTGTATTTTCTAAGCCTCTCTCTGTCCCTTTCCACTGGAGCTGTGTGTCTGTCCTCACAGCAGAGCTGGGGGCTGGTCCCCATCCAGCAAGAACCATGCCTGTGTGGGATTCCTGTCTCCTGGTCACTTCTGAGACCCAACTCTGTGCTTTTTGCTTTTTCCTCCCTCTAGGGCACACGGCCCAGATGCTATGATCCTCGTGGATGGGCAGCCTCGACAAGCCAAAGGGGAGCTAGGGCTATCCCAGATGCTCCACATCGCTAGCCAGATCGCCTCTGGAATGGTGTACCTTGCCTCCCAGCACTTTGTCCACAGAGACCTGGCCACCAGGAACTGCTTGGTCGGAGCCAACCTGCTGGTGAAGATTGGAGACTTTGGGATGTCAAGAGATGTCTACAGCACTGATTACTACAGGGTAAGGCAGCTGCAGTGGCACGCTGACGCTCAGAGCAAAGGGAGATAGGAAATGTTACAGTAAATCAGTTTTTGGAGCACTTGGGCTCACTTGCTTGGTTATCATCTCATTGAAACGTGCACAGAAGTTGTGATCAGGCATCCCTAAACCACTGTACTTAATCCTGCTCAGTCCTGGCCATGCTTGCAGTTCAGACACCCATGCAGATGCCTACACACAGACTCTGTGATACCCCAGCACACAGTCACATGCTTTTGGATGGCTCTGAAATCATTCCATCCTTACTGCCTATTTTTATTCCTGGTTTTTTAAGACATTGACAAATTAAAGGTAATCCAGAGAAATGATAAATACTACAGGCTGTGACCTCTGGTGTTAGATTAAAGAAACTTAATACAGGGACCCAGAGAGAAGGCAACTGAAAGACTGACTGATAAGTGCATAAAATATGGGAGAGGAAATAATAGTCAATTTAGGTTTGACCTCAGAACATTTTTTTTTCCAGCAGGGTCATAATTTAAACAAAGGAATAATATGCCAGGGGTAGGTTACTGAAAGCCTGTCATTAAAGAAGTTCAGGAAGCAACTAGACAAAAACGCTTGGGTTTAGCATAGAGGCTAATCCTGAACTCATCTCTGGGGAGAGACTCAATCAGCCAGGAGTGCCTTTCCAGCCTTTTCTCCTGTGATTTGTGCTCACGCTGTTCCCTTGTCTTGCACATTCCCTCTGTACCTGTCTGCACTGTCCTGCCTGCCTGATGGCAGCATCCCTGGGGGAACAGCATTTTTTCCTTCCCAGCTGCAGGAGAAATGTGATGTGAGAACTGTTTGGAGTACACTGGAGTAGGTGTTTGTCTCTGGACCATCCACCAGCAGGGAAGGGCTTCTCAGGCTAGGGAGCCATGGTTTCTAGCCTCATGCTTGCACAGGGGCTGATTTATTTCTGCTTACAATATATGTGTTTGGCATGGAGGATGTTTTCTCCCAGCTACCCAGAAAGGGGTGGCTTGTTGTCTTGATCAAATTCAGGAATTTTTCATGGTGTGAGGGCTGCCAAGTGCAGTTACTGTGCTGGGGAGGAGGGAAAACAAAATGTGATCAGATTTGTGCTGAGATGTATCACCTCTCCCAGGCCAGAACACTGGATTGCCACTGGGTTTAATTACCAGTGAGAGAACCAGTCTTCACTGTGCAGCAGAAAAGCCCATGCTGGGAAAAGGTCTCAGCGCAGTTTCTGGGCAGTGATGAGGAAAGAGAGATGATGTGATCCCATAACTGCTGAAACTTCAGGAAGGAACAAGTAGGAAAGAGAAGAGCCCAGAGGAGGGTGACAAGCAGCACATGTGATTACTCAAGTTCTTGCCTGCCTTCTTCCCTTCAGCCCTGCTAATCCTGCCCCAACCACAGGCAGTGTCACACTGCTGGACACAATCCCAGCCGAGCTTGTGCTCCTGCAGCACCAAGAGCCCTCTGTGCAAGGGGAGAATTGCTGCTGTTGCCACAGCTGGGAGGGCTGAGATGATCTCCACAGGCCAGTTTATTGTTGTGGGATTTTTCGTCTTCTCTGTGGTGGTGTCCTGTAGCCCTCATCCTGTCTGTGCAAAGTGCTTTGCTGAGGACTGCTCCGTGCTGTCTCATGCAGTGTCCTAAGGCTCTTTATTGAACTTTTCTCTGCATACACAAATTGCCAAATGTTACTAAAGAGTTATCACCTACTTACCAGAGCAAGAACTGAGTTTCAGACCATCACAGACTTTTGTTCTTGGTTGATTTTTCTTTCTTTGTTGTCACTTACATTCAGTATGTTTAAAACTTTTGATCATGAAGTTAATTCTCTGTTATCTCTGTTAAAGTCCAAAGCAGGTTTCTGGCAAAATAAGGTTCTGATTGCCCATATTTACACTGGTGGCATGAGGGGCAGAGGGTTTACATCACCTTCCCAAGGCCAAAGCAGGAATTGATGACAGAGCTGGGAAGCCTCCCCAGGCCAGCAAAGAGCAGCATTCCAGGTGACCTTCATCCCTCCTCCAGGCACAGTCCAACCACACTCCTCCCAGAATATGAGCAAACAAGCTCAAGTGGGAGAACCAAACTGCTCCTTGCTCTCAGCTATGAAAGCTAGAGATTTGGCTGAAGAGCTGAACTTTCAGAGTCTTCAGTTCTGCCCCTGGTCACATCCATGATCTGCCTGGTGACGTTTCCAAGTCTGTTTCCCAGTGTTTGTGCATGGCAGCTTTCCCCTTTAGACAGCTGCCATTGCCAGCACTGGGACCCAGAGCAAAGTTCTGCTTCAGTTGGTTCTAGAAAATCCTGCCTGGTGTGTCCAAGCTGCAGCCCTGGGAGAAGCTGTAATTTGTCATCTTATGGAAACACAGAGAGAAATTCCCCCCCAAGCTGCCACAAAGTGACAGGACTGGAGATCTCTGCACTCTCTTCAGTCTGCTGGGACCCTCTGTTTGCTCCTGCCCAGGCCCTGCAAGCCTGGATAGCTGGGTATGTGGATGTATTACTGTGTTCCAGACTGAGGATTAGTTCCTAGCCATTTCCTTTCTTTCCCATTTTTTTAATCTTTTAAGACAAAGAAAGTACACCATCTGGCTCCTGCATTTGTGGGATGCAAAATTACTTTAACAAAGGTGAACTGATTAATTTTCTGTTACACATTTGGGTACAGAAAACAAATATTTACGTGACAAAAGCAGCAGAGAGGCTCGTTCCCCCTCTCTTCAAGCTCTCCATGCTCTGCCTGAAGACTGATGCATCCTTTTCCTCCTCCATCACAGAGGGATCCCATCAGCTGTTGCCTTTTAACCTCCTTTAGAGAAGACAGGATGGACAGAAAATGATTGTGGAGGTGGAAGTGGAGGGGGGAGGTGGAGCAGCATCTGAGTGGAAAGCGGAGGAAAGTGGAGGAAAGTGGAGGAACTGGGGAGAAGTAGCCCAGCTTCTGTGAGAAGAGGGAAGGAGGGGCTGCTGAAGGAGCATTTCTGTGCTGTGTTGTGTAACGTGCTGTGCAATCTTTGGAGTGGGTCTCTGTGGGAAGGCGGGATGGAATATATCCACACTGGAGAGGAAAGGTTTGGGCGGATTTCATTTTCCTTGTTGTTTTCTCTAAAAAACGGTGTGAGTAGGCGATTTTTTTTAGGTATGACTCAGGACTGTGACAGCAGGTGGTGGGACGGTGCAGGTCAGGGACATTGTGCCTCAGCCAAGCTGAGGGTGGCATGGAGACTGCAGCAAGTGAGGCACAGGGTGCCTGCCCACTGCTCTCCTGGAGGATGTCTTGGTGGCTCTGGGGGACTGTCAGAGCTGGGGGCATCACCAGGGCTGAGATCAGAATCCCCAGCTGCTCTTTCACCCTGCACGCTGGGGTTTGGTTGCTCCAAGAGCCCTTCTGTGGCTCTGGACCCACTCAAGCTAGAGTAATACCAAAATAATTTTCAATTTTTTCCCCCAAATATGTCATTCAGCTCCAAAACAAAATCACGTGGCAGCTGTCCAGGGACAGGGCAGTATTTCTTCATCTTCAGATGAGAACACAGTCTTAAATTGTAGTCAAGACTCCTTAATAACTCCCAAGGTGATGTCCTGAGATGGGTGGGACATCAGCAGTGAAGTCACATGCCAAAGAGAGGAAGGATTTATGTAGACATTAAACCACATGAAAACATTCCTCTGTCCATATTTCCTCTGTCCTACTCTTCTGACATCCTGCTCCAAATCCTAGGTTGGGCTTGACACTTCTTAGGGATTTAGCTCCATCCTTTCACAGAGATCAGTCCTGAGTGTTCTCCTCGTCATTTCATCATGCGGAGCACACCTGCTTGTTGAATAAAAGACACATGCAGGGCTTGAAAAGGGCTCTGGAATTTTTAAAAATTATTATTTTTATTTATTTCTAGCAATGCAGAGATAATCATAATGACAAAAATGCTCCCTGTTTCTGTGTCCTCACCACTCTGGAGCATTGCTTGGATTTGGGAGAAACAAGGTTTGCAGGAAGAAGCAATATCTTTTAATAGAACACACTGTATTGTTGGAAGGTGGAGAAAGAATGAACTCTCTGAGTTCTTCTTTTTTATTGTTATTTTCTGTTGTATCAATTGGCTTAATAAAAGATTAATATCTCTTCCCATGAATCTTGCCTTTCACACCCTTAGACCATCAGAACCAAAACATTTCTGGTATGACTTTGGCCTCAGGTCAGTGTTCCTTAAAAAGTCTGGGATCCCTCCTCCTCTGAAGCATGAAGGTTTATTGTGTAAACAATTTATTTCTTCTCTTTCTTTAAAACAGCCAGCAAAACTCCCATGTTCTTGATAATTTTCAGTACCCATTTAAGGTTGCTTTCTGATGACCATCTCCCATCTTGACCATCCCTTACTTTTCCTCTGCCATTCAAGATTGGCTTCTTTCTCATGGATACAGCCAGTTATTTTTCCAGTGGAGTTTCCATGTGTGCAAAGAGGTCACTGAGATTTAGCAGCTGCCTGGGTCGTGCTCCTTTGGAGGCTCATCCAGCATGGTGGATAACAGACAAGCCCTGCATTGAAACTGGATTTAGTCTGACCCACAGTCTTCTCCATAGAGGGCTCCAAAATAATCACACCATCACTGGTGTGATGCTCCCAGCAGCTCTGAACTCTCTGCAGAGGGTCAGCTGTAGTCTCCCAGCTGCCTTTTTGTGCAGACTTGACAGAGCCCCTTGGAGCTCCTGTGGATCCCTCAGCTGCACAACAGCCACGGTCAGCCCCCTGCTGCTTTCTTTGTAGTTTTTCTGTGCAGCTCTTGCAGTGTGTGTGCAGCAGGAGAGGTGGATCCCAGCAGAGGGGAACTGCTGCCCAGCCCTGTGAGCACCAGGATGGAGCCCTGTGATGAGTGTGCTGGGGCTCTGAGCCATCACCTGCTAGGGGAAATGCCAACAGGCACAGGGGAGGAAAACTGCCTCTGAATTTCTAGCTGGGATGTGGCACTGCCTCACTTTGGGAGGGAAAATAAGC